TCAGATCAACAGCAACAAGTCGATTTTGATTACTATCAATAATCCTAACCAATATCATGAAGAAGTTTATGCAGAAATCAACAAAGAAGTAGTTAGAAAGTTAGATAGAAAAGAGTAAGCAAGATTTCTAGAAATATGGAAGGCAATCAGAAAACTACAATCGAATTCAAAGAAAGGATCTTAAAAGAAATCAATACTATTACAAGAGTTCTCAAAAACAAGAAAATGATCAATAAACAAGCCCTTTATATACTAAATAGAGTATTGATTTCAAGGATAGAGTTTAGAATGCAACATAGTATATTGTTCTGGAAAATATGTAATAACTTGACAGTAGCATATCATAAGCTTTTCAAGAATAAAGTAGCCTTATGTAGATCTATTTTCAACAGTGTGATTTACCATTTGAAGATATATAATCTTAAAAGTATATGGATACTCCAAAAAGAAAGCCAAATAACTGGACTCTGTAATAGAATAAATGATCAAGGTCCAGTAGGACTTACGACAATTATCAAATTGAAACAAGTGCAGATTAAGCACTGAGAGCTCTACAATCTTTTTTCATGCAAATCCCTAGATCACCTTGATAACAAAAGAAATTTCACATTGCAAGTTCTAAAGTTAACTAAAGACCTGAAACCAACTTTCCAGAGTTGAAAGGGGAATGATATTTTTGAGTGGATCAAAGGCAATAGTCCAATTCAAGAATATTTAACAGTAGAAGAATATAGAAAGACAACACCATCTTTACGAAATAACAGGTTGATGTATATAGACCAGCTGCTAAATCAAAACCTTACAAAGTTTAGAAACTAGAGAATGATTCAGCTTATTCAGTACACTAGCAAAGGTCTTATCCCAGAGTGATATAATATCCTACAAAAAACCATAGTAAAAGAAAGTATAGAAGACCTTATAACATCTTGAAAAAAGGGATGAGAAGAAAAGTGGCTACCAAAATGTACTAAACCTGAATCTGATAGAGATAAACGAAAGAAAACCTGGATAGTTGTCCAGAAAGAGAATCAATAAATAGTATGGAAAAAACTGATGCAGGAGAATAGCCAAGGTATTATGATAATTCATAATTTCAACCACTAGGAAATAGAAGATAGTTTAGAAACAGTTCTTACCAAATATACAAAATACTTACTAAACAATAGAAATGAAAACGAATGTAATATAAAAATAAAATCAGATTTGGTCTATACTATACTATTCTTAAACCATAAAAAAAATACTAGAAAAGCATAATCACTAAAAGTTCACTGTTCACTATTGGAACTAGATAGTATGGTAATCAAAAGTATAGTTCAAGATACCCAAGATCCAACAAATGTCAAATGGAAAAAATGAAACAAATATTAGTAGGAAACTGGGAACAAGAAATACTCAGAGACAATGTTAAGCAAGGAATATATCTAGATCACCTACTTGAAATTCTCCAATGTAATCAAGGATCATAGGAGAAGCTGACTTTCTACTTTGACAGATTCTTAATCGACCATGGAAGTGAGAATACAAAAATGGATACAGCATAAATACAAACAGAAGGAGCTGGAAAAGGAAGTAAATTCTAGACAGGAGTTAAAAACTGGCTCGTGTTCACAGGGTTAGAACTGGTAGCATTGGTTACAATAGCTTTAGTAGCTTCGATAGACAGTACTGTCAAGATCTTCACAGATAATCAAGTCTGCATCTCTAAATGGCAAAGCTAGAGAAAGAAGATCCGAAGATGACACACAAAAGAGGGCTAAAAGAAAAAAATTGATCATTATGGGTGAGGATGTTAGATCTTGTAAAGAAAAAGTATATCCAACTAACTTTAATCAAGATTAAAGCTCACTCTAATAATCTATGGAATGAAGACGCAGACCGACTGGCCAAAGAGGCATTAAAGCTATTAAAAATAAAATGAAAGAGTCTCAAATCAAGCAAGATACCCACAGAAACTATGTGACAAGAAGAAGTGATAGATAGTCCAATACAACAAACAAATTAATAAAAGATTAATGGTTTTATCATGGATACAGTAACACAGAATAGAGACAAAATGGCATCACCAAGTTCACAAGTATCAAACCTACTTGTGGGATCTGGCATGGGACAGGTTAAAAGATAGAAATATATGGGATATCTTCTTCAAAGCTTGCAGAGAAGAAATTTCTGATCATAAGATTGAGATCCTGGCAGCATAGCAAAAAGGAGCTAAGACTTTTCTTAAAGAATTTGATAAGTTGTATCAAGAATGTAAGAGAGAAGTGGATGAAAAAATGATATAACTAGTAACTGACAATAGAAGAGAAAAAGGTGAATTAGATAAATGAGCCTTCAGACTAATAGAATCAGTCTCACAAATTGGTTCAATACTCTTAACTTTTGCATAGAATTAGTAAAAAGCAATGCAATTGAAGTAGCTGCCAATCTAAACTGTTATGAAAAGAAACTAGGAACAATGGCAAAAAAATGGATTCTAAAAGTATAAAATAAGGTTTGTAACCAGATTCAAAAACAAGTCTGGAATATAAGATGTGAAAAGATTATTGAATAGGAACAAGAACAAAGAATTAATAGAAGAGCAAAGTATAAGAAGGCCCAGAAAGCAAGAAAGCAAGATCTGCAAGATAATTCAGGTTATAAAAGTACAAGGCAAAGAGAAGAAGTGAAAGAGAGTGAAAACAAAAACCTTGTAGAAATTGTAAGAAACAAGATTAGATATGAGATTAAGTGATTGGGTTTTGATTCTTTTCAGAATATCGTACAGTGATTCGCAATAGTAACCTGTGGGTGATGATATTAGAAGTTGGAAGAGTTTTCACCTAAACTATTAATGGAGCGATAAATCTCTCCCGAAGTTGCATTTAAAGTTCTAGATAAATATAAGACTTTGACAAGTGAGTAATTGGAGATTTAGCTCTAGCATCATATATATAATATATAACTTACAATTGTTTAATAAAGCACACATAACTAGCTTAACAGAGTATTAAAAAAAAAAAAATAAAATAAAATAATTGTGAATAGTTTTTTTATAATTATTAATTTAAAAATTTTAATATTTCCTAGTGAGGGATATTTGATTTTTGTCACTGCCTCTCCCTTTAGGGACCCATCTTTATCTATAGCAAAAAAGTTTTGTAAAAAAGAAAAATCAATAGTGTAATACTTAAAACCTTTTATATTAAAGCATATTTATAGAGATTTTATATAGTAAAAAATAGTAAATATCAATCATATTTTCAAAATATTTGTTTACTATTTCTTCCTTTTTATAGTCATTCAAAATTTTTTAGTTTTCTGAATAATTTTATTTATCTCAACTTGATCCTAAATTTTAGATGATATAATCTATTGCAAAATATAATTGGTAAATGCAAAATATATTAATAGCCAAATATAAACAAGTCTCTACTAATCACCTTATGTGTTTTGATAATATTATTGATAATAGTAAGAGTTGATTGGTATCCCATTCTTATTCCACTTCTTTAATTGAATTAATATATAGATTAAGTTCTATAAGATTAATAAGATATAAGCAACAAATCTTTAAGTAATGTAAAAGCTGCTATTTGTTTAAGCTAATGTTTTTCTTTTTTATTATTTCAGTTAGGTAAAGTTCAAGATTAAAATCTTCTTTTTATTCTAGTTAAGCAATAAGACTAAATGGTTTCTAGTCCATACTGAGCTTTAACCTTTTAGTTATAATTGAAAATACATTTTTTCAGAAATTGTTAAAGAATATTATAATCAATAAGGATCTATATCACTTTTTAAAACTCTTCTATTATTATAAGGCAAAAGGATTGTTAAGAAATCTAACCTTTTGAATAATAAATGATATATATCAACAAAATTCTTTTAATTGGATATGACTACTGGAAGATATTATATTGAAACAATATAATTTAGTTTCTATTGAATCACACAAGAACCTAGGATCCATTATAAGTTATCTTTCTACCATAGGTAAATAAATAATTACTGTTCAAAAAAGATTAGAATCAAGTGTTTCCTAAAAATAAAGACTTTCACTAAGTGATAAGTCTCCTCAAATGATACATAAGAAGGAAATCAAGATCAAGAATAAATAAGTTTTTTAGATAGTTTAAAGAAAAAAGAATATTTTAATTGAATATTTCTTATTGAGAAGAGGTCTTAAGAAACAGATTTTTGAAAGAAACTGAAAATCTTTTTTTTAATTTTTACTCTTTCATTTTCTTGTTGTCTATTTAAATATTTTTAAATATTCCCTTTTCCTTTTTTTTTTCAATTCATTCTTTTGTAGTTTCCTGTATTTCAATAGTTTGATTTGACATATAGCAATGACAACCTGCTAGTAACGATATAGTGGATTAGAAGGATTTTCATCTAAAGATATTGCAGAGCAAAATATTGTCTTTAAGATAGAACTTAGAGATTTTTATGCTTACAATGAGTTAGTTAAATTAAAATAATAGTTTAGCTGTAGTCTGTATCATGCTACTCAAATGAAAAGGTACTTATTGTATGTTTTCAATTGATTAATAAACTAATGATCTAGCCTAGCTATGGATATTCAAAAAAAAAAAAATAAATTATTAATTAATTAGAAAAAAATATTATTATATTTAAAACTATAATATTGTATAAAGTATTTTCTTTAAATAATATTTCTTTGGATTTTTTTATTTAAATTAATTGATACCTAGGATACTTTATATAATATATTGATATATAATACCTCGCAATATATTTATTCAAATTTATTTTTTTATTATTAAAAAATATGGATCTTAAGTTCAGTTTATGCGAATCTGATTTTTGGAAAAAAAATTCCGATCATTGCTAAAATTGGATTATCGATTTACATTACAAAATTACAAAAATAAATGAAATTACTTTCGTTTTATTAAATTTCTTGCAACGAGAGATCGAATCTGGACAAAAGTTTATACTTGAATTTACTTTGGAATTCATCGATCTCGCATCTCCGTTGAGTCATAATTATACATATTATGGCATGCGTCCAGGAAAAGTTGGAAGAATACGAACGCTTGGACGACGAAGACCAGGTTCGTTCATTCACGATCGTGCTTATAGAGGTGACTCTTTAATTTACATTCTTTTGTAGGTTTTGCTGAGACGGGCTCTCGCACTTTCTTTAGAAAGGAACGAAGTTGACGTCGAAGATAGTCCACAGCGGGCTCTTTCACTTTCTTTAAGAGGAGAAATTAACAAACGTCCCGAGGAGGTCGAGTCGATACCGCGTTTCATGTCATTTGGTACACCAATTCTTGGTGCTCCTTCATTTACCGAATCTCCACAATCATCATTCTATCATGATTTGAATGATCAATATAAGCAATGGATTGAGCAACAACAAATGTTTAATGAGAGACGTCGTTCTCGTTTTTTTTTGGAGGATCTATGCAGGCACGCATGACATATTATTATTTCAATTAACTTTAGAAACAATTCGTTTGCTAATTTTATTATTTTTTGATCCATCGCGAATATCATAGTTATCTTTATTTTCTAATCAAAGCCGCTTGTTTTTTTATACTCTTGATGTTTCTGGTGTTTGTCATAGTGGGCTTTATTCAGTTTGCCATGACCATTCGGTCTGATATTAATAAAGAATTTGAAATCATAGCCTCGGGTATGTGTGAATTTGGTGTCCGGTGTCTAAGTGAAATGGCGCATGGTTTATCTCATTCATTTTATTTAATTTTCGTTAATGTTAGATATCTATCACCAAGCGCAAAAGTGTACCATGAATTATGTGACGAACCGTTGCGCGCCGGAGACTAGGGCACCTTTTTTGGAAGAAAATTGCACCAAGTGGGAGAAATGTATGAATCGAGATCCATATAATTCTATAAAAACGGCTGAAGTAGTAGCTGGGCTTATTGCACGACTAATTTCTGCATTCGTTACTCAACTTACATATAAAACAATGATATTTCTTTTCGTTATCAACTTGATTTTCTTTGGCACAATATTGCATAGATTCACATAGATTTTCATGAATTGACAATACAGTATACTATTTATGTAAATTAACCATTTTGAGATATACAATGACGTAATTAATAAAACCGCAAAAAGCGTTCGAATTTTGTTCGTTTTTTTTTTTTTTTTTATCAGAACATGCACGCATATTACCTAGAGGCTGACTCTAAGGAACCGCACGAGCAAACTCCTTTTTCACCTGTTAGCGTTGAGGAGCTTGCAAACCATGGAGTTCTATACTGGCATTTTGAAGGAGAAGATTGCATGTCCAAGATAGACGAAATTGCGAGAGAAAGGAACTACAACAGTCGCGACGAAGTTAGTAGCGATAATAGTAATTTTGCCTTTTTTTTTAAAAAAAAAAAAGTGAGGTGAAAGTGAAATTAATCGAGAAAAGATTACCTGTTCCCGTGAGGGATTAGGCGATTTATACGAAAGCAAGATGAAAACGTTCTTTGAAGAGTAAGTGGAGTCGAATGTTTTTCCCTCTTATTTTACCATGTTGACATTATATCTACCGTGTAACCAAGACATCTTCATGAGGATGAAGAAATTCGGTATATCACGGAAGGTTCTGGCTTCTTTGACGTTCGCGGTAAGATGGATTAATTAATTTGATTTGTGATATGCATTCTACCTAATGACGCAAACAAATAGATATTCGTGATCGTTGGATTCGCATCGCTGTTGAGAAAGGCGACTTACTCATATTGGTAAGCCTTTATTAATAGCCTAATCAAATGCGCGCAATCGTTATCGTTAACTATTTCTAACAATATTAAGCCGGCCGGGATTTACCATCGCTTTGGTCTTGATGACAAGAAATACATAAAAGCCTTGAGTAAATTTGACCCACTTTTTGTTATTATATAGTGTTAGAGATTCAACCTTCTCATCTTAGACTAACCAAACTTCTTTTGATTAGGACTGTTCAAAGAGAATCCCAAGTGGACACCAATCAATCGTGTGTATATTCGAAGCAGTAATTCGCGATTTCCTTTAATTTGATAATTGCTAATTAATCTCATTCAGGCCCGGCGGACGAAAATCCATGCCGTTTAGCATATTTGAAAAGTCTGGAAAATTTATATTAGATTATTCTTCTGATAAAACGTGGTCAATGAAAAAATAAATATTGTTTTTTTTTTTATTAAATTCATTTGCAAAAATTTTTTGTTTATTATTTCTTGCTGAAAAACTAAGAACAGAAAAAGATTTTTTCTCAATGGGGTCTCGGTTTTTTGTTATAAAGCCAATAATAAACTAGACATCCAGATTTCGCGAATTATAATCTAAGAACGCTTTGCGAATGTCAGAAGATAGATAATATATATGTACAAATTGGCCATAAGAAAAAATGTAAATATACATATATTATTTTTTAAAAGAATAAACTGGATTTTCTTTTTTTTAGTTTTTTTAGTTTTTTTTTTTTTTGAGAGCAACTTCAAAGACCAAGCCTAAATCGATTAATAGTCAAGTTCGTTTATGATCTAAAAGAACTATAATCAACGGGATCACATCTTCGAAATAAGGCTTGAGCTGCAATTGCAAAGACCAATTGGACGTCTATGAAAAAGGGCCTTGATTATTGTGGAAAGAAAAAAAAAATGGTACGGCGGAGAAGTGATTTTTTCGATAGGAAGAAAAGGATATCAGACGACCTGATACAGTGAGGGCGGCAAATAATGTTGGGTCGAGGATTATTTCGTTATCTACAGCTCCGGCAAGGGTATAAAGTTTGAGTTGGTTGCGAAAACCATGTTAGAAAGAAAAGAGTGTGACTGATAAAAGAATACAGTGAATACAAAAATATATAGTATATAAAATTGACATATTACAAAGCGGGTGTTTTTTAAATGTAGATTTTGATTTATCCTAAACATTTTTTTTTTTTGCGGATAATTTTACGAACGAGAATTGACAATTACTAAAAAGGGGCGTGTTCTTGGAAAAGGGAAAGGAACTCGGGAGTGTCAAGTCATCAGCTCCGAAGGTGCCCTTCTAATTGAACAAATTAATCCATGTCTTGTATGGCCCACAAGACTCCTTGGTCCATCATAAGTTCCTTGATGCTATGGCGAACCTCCGATGATTTGGTACGTTCTGTTGTTGATCCAGGGGCTTGAGAAACTGCCTCATGAGACGTAGATTGCTCCTTGCCGATATCAAATATACTTAAAGAGAACCGACTTAGACGACCTCCATTTAGGTCAAATTCGTCTTTGTCATTTTCATAAAGGTGAAGGGTTTTTAGCGTCAAAGTGCTAGCTTTAGGAGTCATCGATTCCAGGAGTTCACCTTCCTCCTCAATTATCGACGGTGTTTCGCTACTGGATCCGCTACTTTGACTCGGGGTTCGTCCCGAAGTACGAGCCAGGGATACACTCTTTGAAGACTCGGTCTCATCAAATTCAATTTTTTCATTTCTGAGCGCAAAGGAAACCCGACTAGTTCTCTTGGATGACCTTTTTGATTTTTTTGAGCTTCTCTCGTCCTCGTCATCTGGATTTTGGTGTGCATACTTGTCAACAATATCACTCTCTCGTGTATCATACTTAGAGCTGGTGTTATCATGACCTTTTACTTCTTCGAAGGTGGTGTCTTCCTTTTCGGGAATAGCATTTATGAAATTTCTTCCAAGTGTATTTCGAAGATTGATTCTTCTTTTCTGAGGGTCATATGCGGAAATGATATCTTCGTGATCAAAGAAGTCTCCACCATAGGAGCGTCTATCGGTGGTATCAATATAGTCGCCGCGAATCACATATCCACCATCATCTGAGCCCACACTTTTACGACCAGTACCATTTCTTACATGCAACGAGAATCTCTCCTTTTCTCGTTCGTCAATCATGTGACTATTGAACCCAACCCACTGCATAGAGTTTACGGATTTGGATGTGGCTCTTGAATCACATCGATTACCTTTTTCAAAAGTAGGCGAATCTAATGGGGTGATGGTGGTGGATAAACTGTTCCTACTTGGTGTTGGGTCAAACGTGCTAGACAAAAACGACGAACGGTTGGTGGAATTGCTAATGCTACTGGTGGACAACGACGATTTGTGATGCACGTACGAACGGGGTCGAGTGATATTTGCCAAATCGGCCGGAGTTAACGAAACTGATGAGGTACGTTTATGTGTTCGTTTCGTTCTCTGTGAATCTGTGGACATACGTTTAATTTGTTTGATTGATGGAGACGTGCCTGAGGGAATTATTGAATCATCAGATTTCTTAGACTCTTTCTCAGTCGATGACCGTGTTTGCGTTGGTGATGTTGTTGGTACTAATTCTGAAGTTGTCGATTCAAGGGTTGGCACATCTTTTGTTTGAATCTTCTTGTCTTCGTTATTAGTTGGGAGATCGGGATTACTACCGAGCTGACCGCCGGGACGAATGTAAGGGTCATTTTGGGTTTCGCTGTCAACGAGAATTCGTTTTAATCTACGTCGGCGTATAACACAGAAACCTATTATACCAATTATTATTATTATTATTATCCCGGTAATAACACCACCAATAATGATTCCCCGTGATGAATGTTTTGATCCCGGAGTGATATCGACGGACGCTGTTTTTGCATCGACCCATGCGTTGACTTTAATGTCAAAGAGATAAGTTCTGGCATCGGATAGATTCGCGCCTGAATAGCCACCCCAAACCAACATTATGTCGGACAGTATGGCTGCACTGTGAGCACCTCGAGGTGAAGGTATTAGGCCCGGATTTGAATTCGCATTCATGGACACAGGCGACCAGGTCAAAATTGGTAAATTCGTTGCATCCAAGGTGTAAAGGTCATTATACCCGTGGGTAGATTTGTCGAGTCCACCAAATATGTATAATATTTTGTGACCGCTTCCCTGGGAAACCATTGATGAGTAGGAACGTGGTGGAGGAGGATTTCCAGAAACTTCGGATTTAACATAAACATTATTTGTGGTGTCAAAAACACTACAATCATTTTGGAGTTCAAGCTTGTTGTTGAAGCCAAAACAAGTTATTAAATATTTGTCAATTACAGCTGTCGAATGTCCGGCAACGGCTTGCCAAGGGATATTAATTAGGTTCCAACTGTTTGACGAAAGGTCTACATAAGAGACATCTCCGAGCACACTACTTGCATTCATTCCGCCTATTACATAGACTTTATTATCGACCAAGGCGGCAGTGTGGGCATACCGAGCTGAAGGAGCTGTACCTATGACGTTCAAAGCATTCAGGGTACCTGTTTGAACATCAATCTGCTGGACAGGACCCGCCAACGTAGGGGGCGTCACTGACTTCTCGCCGAACAATATCAGAACTTTTGAGCCACCTGTTGGAACAGCTCCGTGACCAGCTACGGAAACTTTTGCCGAATTCTGTTCGTTCACGACCAACGTTGAAGAGCTCATAACAAGCAAGGTTGTCGGTAAAGCGGTGGAATTATCTAAAGAACTTTGTCCACCAATCATAAAAACATTGCTACCAATGACTACGGCAGTGTGGTGGAAACGTGGACTAATAACTCCACCTCTTTTGGACAACTTCGTTGGCCGGGAAGGTTGGGATTGGAAGTGGATGAAGTTGGTTTTTCCCAACCTTCCTTCCGCACTAGGAGTATTAAGGAAAGCATAGTCAGCGGCGGGTTGGTCCTCCGACTTACTGTTGTGAGGCGCGCTGAACATTGCGGGAAGGAAGGATATGGTGTATTCACCGTTAGAGGTTGAATTGGAGCATAAGAATTGCCACGAAGGGTTCGTGGTCGAAATTTAAGCTTAATGCACAACAATATGACATGTTTTGTACTCAAACCAGCCATAGTATCATCATTATTATTGTATATATTGTATAGCATATGTCGAATAAGGCCTGGATGAGATTGGTACACGAATTTGAACGTCCTTACCAAAAACGTCGTTCAACTCCAATATTTTTGTGCGTAAAAATGACCGGTATGCACAAAATATACAGAAGCTGCAACTGTCTAGATTAAATAATCGTTTATACATTCTAAAAGAACTCATCAACAAACAAATATTTTAAGAATGTGATATCAGATGACTGACAAAATGAAGAACCTATCATGTGGAGAATCTTTTATTGAATAAATAGTAATATTTTGACTAGTTTTGGATTTGTGATAATTAGTTCAATATATCTTTGCCTTTTTATTTACGATGTATATGAGGAAGACGGTCATGATATTCAACCTTATTATTGGACAAAAAAATGATATCCGATGTATTTGCACTACCCATATGCCGGGAATATGCAAACTCCAAAAAAAGGACACCTTTATATAAGAACCAATAATAGAAATATGACGTACTCGGTCGAACCGAATTCTTCTTTCATGCGATTTTCTCCCTCCCCCCCGGAATTACGTAGGTTACATCATGCATTTCCGAAGAAAAAAAAAAGTTCATTATATTAAAGGCTTACCCGTCCGAGCGCTCGTGGGATGAATCGGTAAGAGTACGGCTGCGACATTTCGTCCTTCTTCAGCCAAAACGTTGAAAGTGGTCAAAGCGTTATCCTGATAAAACAACAGATAATCAGCTTCCTGCTGAAAATAAAATAAATATTCATTTGTGATAATTAACCGTGTCCTGGCAATCTATTTGTAATCCCAAGTTATAAATGTAATCGCGCAGTCTCGAAGGGATGGGGACAAACGTTTTTCCCGTACCAAAGATCAAAAATTCTAGGATTGGAATTTGTGGTTTAGAAAACTCCTTCCACTGAATTAAATAATCTCAGAAGGCCAATCTTACCAGGCCTTGGCGTGACGACTTCGAATATTTTTAAAAAATCTTCCTTCCACCCGTCAAATACGCCGCCCGATTCGCCTTTGCCATGCCCAACACCCTGAGGAACGTCCCATAAAAAAAGTTCCCCATTCAGTAACACGACAGATCCCCTTATGTGCACATTATCTGACGTAATAAATCCATGCTTTGTTACTTGACGAAGCATAGTCCAGGAGCGAGTTAAAGAGTCATCAAACATATTTCGAAATGCGGAGGCCATCGGGGTGGGAACAATGGTGTCAGAAACAGGCGGCTTCTCAAAGTATTCGGTTTCAGACTGCCGCGACCTTTCATTAAAGCTGAAGGGCGTGGTGTGAAAAGGTTTTATATTCTTCTTACATAGCTCCAGAGGAGTGATCCTTGAAAGTGTTTTCAGGAGATACCAAGGCTTATTAAATAATGGTTGCATATTCTGCATATTGAAAGGCGAATAATGGTTCGAACATAACTGGTACGTGGTTTCACCAGATCTTTGATAAGGAAATTAAACAGTTAAATTTTTCCATATCTAGGCATAAATATTGATATTAAAGAAAATAAAAACAATTAAAAGTTATACAAAATTTTTAATTGAAAACAAAATATGTTACAAAATCCTTTTTGTTAATTATATTTAAAAATGTATTGATTTTTAAATCTTTTATCATTTCAAAAAGTAATTAAATAGACTTTCTTGTGAATATTTTTCTTTAAAAAGATAGTATTTAAAATAATTAATATATATATATATTTTTTTTTAATCCACAATCATGCCACAATGGCATATTTTTATTGAGATATTGAGAAATATCTAAATATTTTACAGACTTTCACAATGTGACTAACTTGTTATTGTACATTATTCGTTAAAGAACTACACTACTTAAAAAATATAAGAAGTTCATTAAGCTGATTCGAATTAAACAAAATTCAGTCTAAACTAGATACTCTAAGTTAGATTTAGGGAACAATATTTCACTTTCCTAGTAGCTTGGCAATAGTGCCTCTAAGTCTACCAGGGTCATTGCCAACAGTTTGTCACTGTAGATTATCCCGAA